TGGGTCAGATAGATGCTAGTTTTTAAATGCTTTTTAAATGCTTGTTTTTTTTAAATGCTTGTTTGTTTCTTGGTCCTCGCACATGCTAAGCACGTGTTCTACCACTGAGCTACACCCCTAGCCACTTAACTGCGTTTTTGTTTTTGTTTTTTTTGGTACCAGGGATCGAACTCGGGTCCTTGTGCTTGCGCAGCAGGCGGTGAAACTACTGAGCTAAATCCCCGGCCCTATGAAAGCTTCTGATTTTAAAGTATAAATTTACAAGATGTTGTAAAAATAGCACTAAGAGGTTCCATGTACTCTTCACCCAGTTTCTCTCAGTGCATCTTGCATCACTCTTGTACAGTTTGGAGACTGTCCCTGGCACAATGCAGACTTTACTCAGATTTCACTAGTTTTATGTACATTTGGAACACATTTACACAGAAGCTGATAGACCTGTTATGACATGTAACAATTGAAAATTTACCATGAAAATCTTATGAAAATGATATAAAATACAGGGGCCTAGAGATGTAGCTGAATGGTAGAATACATGGCTGAGCATGTGCAAGGCCCAATCCCTAGCACACCCACAGACAGACAGACACACACACACCACACACACACAGAGGAAAGGAGGTATGGTACACCTGAGAGTAAGGATTCTTTTACATTTTTAGTTAGCCTTTAAGCATTTATCTGTACAATAAGCATGTATCTGTACTATATTATAAAAATCTAGATTCAACATTCATTATAACCTCGGAAGTTTTTAAAAATCTGAGTTTCTGCAGAATCCATTTGACAGGCTAAGTTAAAAAAAAATCTATTATTACTCTTCTGTACTATATTAATTCAGAAAGAATCTTTGGAAATGAGGGCAGAGTTCATTGAAAAACAAAACCAAGAAAAAAAACTGGGTATGTAGTTAGAAATGCCATCACTTTTTAGAATTTGAGAAGTGCTTTTTCAAGGCCCCGAGGTGGATCGTCACAGACTGGCATCTTTGAGTTCGGGCCTTACCTAGCTGCCGCAAACACCTCCAGGCTCACCTCTGTTCCTCCTGTGCATCCAGCTGCTTTCTGCTCTTGGCGGGTCTGTGGTTACCCCCTCCCCAAGCCAGTGCTTGTTAGTTCGGGACACAGGCTGTGCATCGCAGCACTTTCCCGGGAGCGCAGGGTCAGCCGTGTATTCCTGCTGGGTGACGGCAGTGTTGCCATTTCTAACTATGTGTGCTGCGGGCCAGGCTGAAATTTGGAGGAGATGGTTACCCCAGTGTGATTCACCACATTTTCTTGGCTTTTAACAGAAGGGCTGGTAGAAGAATGTCATTATTTCAAATAATTTTACATGTGAAACTGTTACTATGTAATTATCACCCATAACCTCTCAAATCAGAAAAGGAAATAGACTGTTCCCATGGAATTCACTTTTCAGGTAAATCTGTCCATGCAGTTAGATTGATTTCAAGACGCCTGTCAGATGAATTTGTGTTTCATTCTGTTTTTGTTGTTTTATTCTCATAGGGAGATTTGGCTGATTCTTTTTTCATTGTAGAATCTGGAGAAGTGAAAATTACTATGAAAAGAAAGGTAAGCATTCTTAAGTCCTAAAAAAATTCACATAATAATAGCAAGGCATACGATAGAATTTTTAATTTTTATACCAAAGTTAACTTATTTTTAAAATACAATGAGCAATTTTTACTTACTTTGTTAGGGTAAATCAGAAGTGGATGAGAACGGTGCGGTAGAAATCGCTCGATGCTCTCGGGGACAGTACTTTGGAGAGCTTGCCCTGGTCACTAACAAGCCTCGTGCCGCTTCTGCGCACGCCATCGGGACCGTCAAGTGCTTAGGTCAGGATCACGGTGGTGGACACTGAAGTTGTTATGTCTGCGTCTTATGTATTTATGTTGTATAAATCATTTTATTGGGTTTGCAGATGTTGTGGTTCCTATAAAATACAGCAGAGTTAGGACTCACTGCATTATAAAATCAATTCGTGGAAGCCACTTTCTTCTTTGAAATGTTTTACATACAAATATATTCAGTTCTTTCGTATATGTTTTAAATGACACCTTATTTTAATAATTAAAATAAGAGCTCTGACTACCAAGTTTTACATATAACTTGTCAAGTAAACACGTGCCATGTTCCTCTTAAGAGAAGGCTAAAGTAATACTTTTGTAAAGTTCACTGTTGAGCCCTTCAGGGGAAGTTGGAATGTCTGGGCGAATACTGTACATCCTCCGCTGAGCACCGGAACATGAAAGATGAGGTTTGTTGAAGCTTAATCACATGTTCTTTGTTGTTCGGCTCTTTGTTACTTTCTTCTACTGTGGGAGCTTGGCAGAAATGCCAGCTTTAGCTGGAAGACATCTATATGTATCTGAGATTTCATATGTGAGGAATCACTTACTTCAATAATGAAAAATTTAATTTAGGAAATGACAATATAGGTGACATTTTCTTTAAGAAAATTGATTCCAGACTAATTAGCCTATTCATGTTCTTCATCCTCAATTCAACAGGGATAAACTTAGTTTGAGTGTTAAGATTTGCGGGGATTGTCAGAATTAACTTCTTAGAGAAGTCACTTTTTTTTTTTTTTGGTGGTACCTGGGATCAAACACTGGACCTAACCCTTGCAGAGCAGGTGGCAGAATTGAGCTAAATCCCCAGCCCTGAGAAGTCACTTTTTTTTTTTCTTTTTTTTGGTACCGGGGATTGAACATGGGTCCTTTCGCTTGCGAGGCAGGTGACAGAACCACTGAGCTAAATCCCTGGCCCTGAGAAGTCACTTTTTAAAAGGTTTTAAATAAGGTTATTAAGTGATATACTTGGATGAAAGAGAAGACAGAACTGACAAGCAGTTTCCCTGAGAACTTTTAGTAAGCGTAAAAGTAACATGAGTGAAATTTATTTCTCTTTTCTATAATAATCATATTCATATTAAAGGAAGTTTAGAGATACAGAAAATGATAGGAAAAACAATCACCCACACCGCCATCCCCACTCAGTGATTTCCAGTATTATAGTTACTTTTTGCCCTTTTTTTTTGGTAAGGATATTTTTGGGTTTTTTTAAAATTAGTTTTATTGGTACATTTTAGGTATACAATTCGTTTACACTTATCATTGGGTGTTTGTACCTGTATATGATATATCTGGGTTCTTATTTTGATATTTTTCTGTTTTTAAACTGCTCTGCTCATCCATTATAGCTTAGGGATTTTATTTTATTGCTTCAAGTTTTAACATTCTGTTAAACATATGTTAACATATATAGAAGTATTCAATCACTTCCCAGTGGTAAATAGGTTTTGGCTACAATTTGTGTTTTTGTATATAACTTTTGCATAATTTGGATTTTTCCTTAGAAATGGCTTTCAGATGTGGGTATTTTTAAATGACTTTTTTTTTTTGGTACTGGGGATTGAACTCAGGTCCTTATGCTTGCAAGGCAAGTGGTGGAACCACTGAGCTAAATCCCCACCCCTTAAAATGACTTTTGATATATATTGTCAGATCACTTTTTTTTTTTTGGTGCCAGAGATCGAACACGGGACCTTGTACTTGCAAGGCAGGCAGCACCACTGAGCTAAATCCCCAGCCCAGATCACTTTTATTTGTAATAATTGATATGCCTCTAGTAGTGCAGGATTGCCCATTCATCTTATTCTTACAAACATTGCCTTTTTTTACCTCTGCAAATTTGAAAGGCAAAAAAAATGTATTTTAATTTATATTTCTATGGTAGACAATATGGTTACATTTTCCATCTGAATCTTACTCAGTTTTCAAACAGATGAGATAGGCAAGTGATAATTACATAGCACATAATTATAGAAGTGGACAAAAGCATTATATTGACTGCCACTTTGGAGTTGCATGGTGTTTGCAACATGGCATTGTAAACTCTGATAACAAGATAGGAAACACACTCCCTCGCCACTTTTAAGGGGTTCATATTACTAATATAGAAACATCAAATTTTACTTTTAAGAGTCCCCAGGCCTTGCTGTTCCTATCCTTCGTTCTCTTCCCAGCTTTGATCTGAAGCCTCCCACCAGCCTAGCACTGCAGCTGCTGAGGGACCTGAGAGTGTGGCCTGAGGAGGTCTCATACTGGGGATCGAACTCAGGACCCTGCTCTTGCGAGGCAGGCGAGGCACCACTGAGCTTCCTTTTTGAAGTGGAGTGTTTTAATCTTGATGCTTTTTCTTGTATTTTACAATATTTACCTGAAAATAATCTTGCATTATTGATCTGTTGCAATTAAAAAATCATCATGGGAATTATAATGGAATGGAAATTCAGTTTTCCAAGGAATATTATTTTTCATTTATTTTTTCCTTTTCGTAGCCATGGACGTGCAAGCATTTGAAAGGCTTTTGGGACCTTGCATGGAAATTATGAAAAGGAACATTGCCACCTATGAAGAACAATTAGTTGCCCTGTTTGGAACAAACATGGATATTGTTGAACCCACTGCATGAAGCTAAAGTACCGAGCAAGAAGACCATAGTGACAGAATTACAGTAGTGGTTAGTCCACTGAGAACGTGTTTGTGTAGATGCCAAGCATTTTCTGTGATTTCAGGTCTTTCCTTTTTTTACATTTACAATGTATCAGTAAACAGTAGTGATTTAATAGTCAATAAGCTTTAACATCACTTTCTAATGAGTAGTGAATAAAAAATCAGCATATTGATAAAATGACTTTCTACTCCACAAAATTATTTGAAAGTTTTATTTAAATGATTGTAATATATAGAAAGTGCCCATGTTTAAGAAGATAATTAAAAGATACTATCTTAGGCAATGTGTTTGACTTATTCAGATGGGTATCAAATTAGTGACCATGCCCATGTAAGAGGGAATCATGCTACACAGTGTGGCACCACATTCTTTTTATAACTCATTAGACAATAAAATTTTAATCATTTTTAATTTAAAGTTTTTCTGGCTTGATTAAGTTGTGTGCTGGCCTTGGCCTATTAGTGAAATGGTATGAAACATCATATGCAATTTTAAAACTTTTTATATTTTTTGCAATAAAGTACATTTTGACTTCTTTGGCATAATGTCAGTAACCAACATATTCCAGTGGTTTTAAGGACTGGCAAGTTAGCTATTATGATGATTGAGAGAAGAGTTTTTAAGGGTGAAAGATCATTAATGCATTTTTGTTCCTCATCAAGTATATATACTTTCCTTTTTCTTTGTGCAGCTTCCTATATTCTTTATCTTTAAAAGTTTAATTTTGACATTTAATGTCACAAAATGTTTTTTAAAGGTATTTAAACTTGTCAAACCTGATTTTTATTGTCTTCTAAAAGCCCAAGAGCTTACGCTTAATCAAAGAAAAAGCCTCCTTTACCAAACATATGAGGGACCCTATGTCTACCTAATCTGCACAGATCTGCCACTGTGGGTTTCTGGTCTTCCTCACAGAGACTGCCAACCCTCAGACCGATCAGCAGCCAGGGAGGTTTAGCCCACCCCTACCCCCAATTCCTCTAAGGTGGGAGGAATAAATTTGTATAAGCAAAACCGTATAGAACAATAAAAGGAATTTCTGTCTAGCAAATAGGCCAGTAAGCCTTGCCATCTGCTTTAACGCCGGCTCACACTTAAAAGTACAGAAAACTCAAACTTACTAGATTTTCATTGACCACTGAGATGCTCATAGAAGGTGCCATAGAAGACAAATTCAGTTATATTCAACCAAAACAAATATGCTGATTCTTAGGCCATGACCCAGTGTCTACAGATGTTAATTCCAACAAGTTGTTTGCTTTTAAATGGGCAATTTCATTTTGGGAAATGTGTTTCAAAAGCATATACATGGGTACAGTTATTTTGTGGCTACTGTAGTCTTAGAGAATGTTTATGGTCCTACTTGTGTATGAAAACATGGCTAGAATGTTAGTTGGATAATGTATATATATATAAGAAATTAGAGTATGTGAACTGTAACTTCAGCCACATTTTAGAAAATTGTTTAATATTTTTGCTAAAACCTTCTTGTAGGATGTGGGAGCCTCTCTACATGAAGATGACTTACTATTTTAGATTTTAAAAGCCATGTCGGTTAAGGAAAACAAAAAAAAAACCAGCCAAATTTCTCATTCCTCATTCTGTATTCTTTATTCACTTTTTCAAGCTAATCTCTTTTGTTGCATAATCTGATTGTTAACTAGTCATGGAACAGTAAATAAATGTTTAATAAAGAACTCTGACCAAGGCTACAAATGCCAGTTACGTTATTTTCAGTATTGTTGGTTATATTTAAATTTTCCTTATAATAAAACACACTTTTATAATAAAATACATGAATTACTGTTTTTAATTTTTTTTGCTTATTTACTATAACTTGCATAGTGCATAAATGCGATGAAAAGCATGATAGACATGTGGCATGTGAAGCTAATACTGCAAGAAAGAACAGTATGGTTTGTACGGCAACAAGGTTGTCTTTTAAGATTTTACCTACTGATCATATGTGAGAGAAATAATTGTAGTATGTTGCACATTTGGCCATTTAGGATAACGAACTTGGCTAACTAGGAAATTTGTATGTAAAGTTATCTAATTAAAATAGCTCAAGTTTGACTTGTGGATGTCATTATTTATCACTAGCAGAATGGTTATTATTTGAGAATTCCTTACTGAAGTTTTCATTCAAGGAGGGAGCCTCTGCATGCCTATTACCTGTGGCTAAGGAAGGCGTGGAATTCTTCCTGAGAAACAAAGCTCCTTCCCCTCCTTTGTTTTCAATAAATACCAAGTTGGTATATGTGTTTCCTGCACACTAGAAGGAACCAGGGATTACATATATTTTAACATATATACCACCCATGACACAGTTGGTGAATATATTTGGGTTACTGTTACACCTGTGGCTGGTGATCATTTCAAATGTTTTAAAATGTTTCAAGTGAAACAGTATGAAGCAAGAACTTTGGATATTATTGAAAAGTGTAAGATTAAGAAAAGTGAAAAAAAGAGATTAAGAAAAGTGCTGAGTTATTTTCCTTTGCAAAGCATCTTTAAAAATATTGATAAATAGGGCTGGGGATTTAGCTTGGTGGCACTGTATCTGTGTTGCAAGCACAAGGTCCTGAGTTTGATCCCCGGTAACAGAAGAAAAAAAAAAAAAAACTCCTGGAGACGAGGGAGCTCAGTAAAAATATTGGTAAAAGCCAGGTGCAGTGGTGCTGCATGCCTGTAATTCCAGTAGAGAGGCTGAGACAGGAGGACTGCCAGTTCAAGTCCCATCTGGACAACTCAGTGAGATGGTCTCAAAACAAAAATTAAAAAGGTCTGGAATATAGTTCAGTACGAGTAATCTCCAGTACCACCACCACCAACCCCCCCCCAAAGTTTTAACTTTTAAGAAATGTTACATTTATTAAAAGGAATTGAATACTTTCAGCTTTTTTTGTTGTTGTTACTGGGGATCAAACTCAGGTCCTTGTGCTTGCGGGGCAGGTGGTGGAACCACTGAGCTAAATCCCCGGCCCCCTCTAGCATTATTAAAATAATGTTTAAGCTTGGAGGTATTATGTCTGGATTAAGCAAGACTTTGAAAATAGCTGGAAAGGGCCAGGGATTTAGCTCAGTGGTTCTGCCGCCTGCCTTGCAAGCACAAGGTCCCGAGTTCGATCCCTGGTACCAAAAAAAATAAATAAAAATAAAAAAGAGAAAATAGTTGGAAAGGGTTTTCTAATATACATAAGATGTTTACACCCACAGGAGAAACAGAATCATAAGAACAGAAATCGAAAGTAGCCTGAGGTACAGCCTGAGGATGAGTATTAAAGAATTTTGACAAAAAGGAATCAATTAAGGAGCCGAGACAACCTTATGTGCTCTGTAATACTTTTAAAGGGAGCAAAACTGTTTTAGCAACTGAAAATAGTTGCTTGTCTTCATACGTATTTAAAAAACACCTTACAAGTGTAACACGTGAGAGCAATGTGAGCAGCAAAGTGCACCAGTTATTTGCAGAGGACTTGTGTGCCCGGCAGTAAGCGTGAGTCCAGATCAGCTCAGTCTGTTCCAGGGAGAAGCAGGGACTTCACCAGGACTTCATCTGTGAGCTGATGACAAAACTCATGGAGAATTGAGAGCCCTTGGTTTCTTGTCCAGTTCTTGGCCGATTTTCCAACTTGGCCTATTAGCATACTATTATATAGAGAAATTGGAATACTAATTCTTAACCCAGTATATAGAGAAATTTGTATGATGTTTCCAATGCAGAGTAGACAGTTTTTGAGATGAAAATATTTTATTTGACCAACAGACATGGGTCTTTAACTTTTTATGCTTAGTTTATCAATCTAAAATTGCCTTGAAAAGCCTGAAGAAGCATTTATCATCTGTATGTCAAGATATGAGGTGTGACAGGAAATAATTTGTCTAATCCATAAAAATGAAGTGCCACATTTTGGGGAGGTAGTTTTCTCAGATTTGGATTTAACCATAGCATGAATTTTGCCATTTTCCCGAATAAAAAAAAGACATTGCAAAATGTGTATATATGAAATAATAGTTGTTTAGCCCTAATTATAATTGTTTGATTATAGCATGTTAGTGTATTTTTTTTTTACCTCACCTAGAAAAAAAATGACTTTTCTTCCAGGCACAAGAAAAAGTAAGTACAAATTGGACTCTGAAACAACAGTGGTAGTCTTGGCTCTTTAATGCAACAACCCAGATGTGAAATTTTCTATTTGACTTGAAAGAAATTTACAAAATAGGTCCCCCGAGTGAGTTTCTGCAGCAAATATAGACAGTCAGAATCTTGGATCAAATCACTTCTAATTGCTCGTTTTCCATTTTGCCCTAATTGAAAGCCCAGAAGAAAATCAACTTTGGAATTTCACTGCTTCTTTTAGGCAAAAGGCTTATATTTAATACAAGTGTACTTGTCTTTATATGATGACTGTGTTCTTGAAATGTATACAAATGACTTTTTTTTTTAACAGTGAAGTAATACTTTAATTATTTCAAGATGAGCTCATCAATAAGTCATTTGGTAATTCTTTTCTCATGCTTGCTCTGTAAAGCTCAATTTAAAGATGTCTGATGTTTTATTACTATAGTGTGTTATATAACTTGATGGAGTTGAAGTGTAATAATTAGGCAAATATTTTGTTTGCATTTGCATGAGTCACCCTTGTGAGGGAGACAAAAATGAATACTGCTTATATAATGTAGTTGGAAGATAAGAACTGTTCTCAAATAACAGTACATGTTGAGTATCCCTTATCTGAAATGTGTGGGACCAGAAGTGTTTCAGGTTTCAAGAGGATTTGGGATTTGGAAATACTTGCATACTTCACACATGGAGCATCCCTAACCTGAAAATCTGAAATCCAAAGTGCTTGAAATCTGAAATCTGTTGAGCACTGACATAATTCTTAGAGCATTCTAGATTTTAGATTTTCAGATTAGGGATGTCAGCCTATGATGACTAAATGGAAGACATGATCTTTAAAGCCCATGGAAAATGTTTACCAAAGTCAGTGTTCGAAACAGCATGTGACATACACACAACACAACTACATTTCTCATTGGGAATTGTACCTTTACATAATGCATCTTGGTTCTTATTTTTTTGCATATTAGAAAATTCATGCTACTTATTTCTCCCTAACTTTTCATTCAGATGTTCAGCAAATATCTATTTGCTTATTATGGGCCAAACAAAAAGACACTAAGTGTTGATGAGAGAAAAAGAAGAGATAATGCAAACGTGGTAGGGACCATACAAGCAAAAATACCAACTTTGAAAGCTATGTCCATACTATTACTCTGATTTTAATTGTTCTTTATCAGACTTAACTGCCCCTAAACTGAGGTACCTTTGACTAGAAAATGAAAATGCATAGAGAAGACCCTAGGATATGAAATAGTTATGAGCAGAAAATGATATTGCTCTGTTAAACAGATCAGATAACAAATTATCCTAAAAAACTTAATGAAGAAAGACAAGAATAGTTATGAGCTTGGTTTTATGAAACATGAGATGAAACATGAGAATTATTTGTTGCCATCTCTAAATAATCACATTTTCATTAATACCAACTTAGACAATTTGACAAAAAAAATTTTTGAGGGCAAATGAGAACAAAAAAGGGTAGTCTATGCTGAGGACACCCAAATTTATTTCTGTAGACTTGGATCTCTTCAAGTCCAGATGGATATACTCAGCTGCCTCCAGGACCTCTGTACTTGAGTTTCTTGCCTGCACAGCAAGGTTAGCATCTAAAACTGAACCAGTCCTTTCCCCTCCTCTGTTCTGCTCTCCGATATTTACTATCTCAGTCAATGGAAACAATCTCAACTACCTAGAACAAAGACAGTGATTCCTCCCTCTTACATTGATTCTACTTCCTAATCCTTACAGCAGTGAGATACCCACATCGCAGCCACTGAAGAAAGGTCTTGCTGGTTTATGGTCATCTAAACAAAATCTAAACTTAATTTGTCATCAATAATGACAAGAACAAGAGACATACTAAGTTCTAAAATGGCACTCAGCTGCTGGACATTTCATTACAATCTGAGTTTATCTGACTTTGAATTACTAAATTAACTTATTTTTGAGTATAGTAAGGTATATGGAAGGTATTTGTGAGAAACTGTCTGAAAAGATCAGATACTATTTTAGAGCATACACTGGGCTTTATTTCCTAGTTGTATTTATTGAATGATTTCATTTGTTTACCTTTTGGCAATAAACAGTGATATTCTCAATATTCAGGCAAATGCCTTGTGCTTGGACTTATTTCTTATTCTAGCAAAATAGTCATTAGTGTGCCAGACATGGTAGAATCAAGGGAAATTGTTTCATTTTGCCTCTATAATTGGAGATGAGTTAATCTTTTTTTTTCTGGTTTTAAAATTTTTTTATTGGTACATGTTTGCATTACATAATAATTACATTCCTTGTGGGGAACTGGTACATGTGCATAACACAAGCAAGTTAAATCTTAAGATTTTTCTAGGTATATTTTTCTCTTTAAAACATTAGAACTTAGTGTTTTTAACAAGTAATTATTCAAACCACTGAAATATTTTGATTTGAGATGACAATTTGTTGATATGTTTTGGCATAAATGCTATATAGGCATGTATATACATATGTACATATATAAACATGCATATACCTGTATAATTGGGTCCACACTAAGACATATTAAACTGATTTTTTTTATCATAGATCTGAAGGACAGGTAAAAACTATGTTTAAGAGTGTAACTTACATACATAAATCTTTCCAACGAGAGCTCTTACTAGTTTTGTCTTTGATCTTTGTTTGG